AGGAAGGAAGGAAGGAAGGAAGGAAGGAAGGAAGGAAGGAAGGAAGGAAGGAAGGAAGGAAGATATTAAATCAAAGATGTTAAGAAAAGAAGGACAAAAGGATGGGAGAGATGGAAGGAGGAACAGAAGGAACAAAGGAATGATAATAGGCAGAGGAAATGGCCACAAACTGCACAGTAAACCTTTTTTTTATTATTTTATTAGCATACCAAAAATCATATTTGCACAGATCTAAAACTGTAAATCAGAGAAAGTGTTCACCTGGCCAGGGTAAGGTCATGTTTGTGGTATTCCAGGGCTTTTCCATACTCCTTGAGGTAGAAGTAGGCATTGCCAAGTTGACTGTAGATGGCACTGAGGGTCTTCAAGTCTTCTGTGCCGACTTGCACAGCCGCCTCAAAAAACGCTGTTCCTCCTTTAAAGTCTCCTGCCTTGCATAGCCGCTCACCTTCCAAGGCCAACTCCAAACAAGAGGCCTCCATCCTGAAAAGATAAGTACACTCAAATGAGTCGGAAATAAGCTCTACATACATCTGTATAAAACTTTAACAGATGAATATTTACAAGAACACATTAAAGTGGAGGAGCAACATCTCAAACTGGTAGTATCACCATGACGAGCCATTTCTGTAGACTGTTGCCTTAGCAACTTAGCCTAAGCTCCCAGCTAAGCACCTTGAGAAGATATTGTACTTCAGCTCGTCACTGGTTACAACAATTTGCTTTCTGAAGACACACAGATGTTTTGATCATATTAAAGTATAGTATAGCTTTTCTAAATTGAGCTATACATTAGACTCCAAAATGTGTTTAAAAGCCCAATCACAAAGTGCTGCTCAGAGCTTCATTTGTTTGACTATTATACTGAAAATCCAATGCACTGTATGATATAATGTATGACACATGCCAAAAATATCTTTGGCCGTGAGGAAAGACTTTCTTCTTGCCTTAATTCTGAAACCCCACAGAATCAAGTGCTAACAAAGATATAAACATTATACATATGAGGAAAAACAATAGAAAAGTACCTTAAATACAAGAGATATAGCCGCAGCACTAATGACAATAATCGTATGATTCTCATCTTTGTGGCCAAGTTGGACACTTGTTAATATTTTTTTAGAGAAAAAAGGGCTTTGAACATTTCAAAACCAGTGCTATCACATACATTTATTATGTAAAAAAATACTTTTTAAAAATCCTAACGAATGGCTCCTAGTTGTTAGTCGGCTGGCTGAAAAGAAGACTTTTTTTTGGCCTAACTTGGAAGATAGATTTATATAAAACCAATTTATTTTATTACTTTTGTAAACAAGACGTCAGTGTGGAGAAAACGCAGGAAGCCAATCCAAAGACTCTAGTGAGGTAATGCCATCCTGTAATTTTGATAGAATAGTTTTTGCTTCTCTGTTTTAATTGGAAAAAAATTTAATTACATCTTATGCTGGAATTTTTCAGACTATTAGTATCATATCTTGAGGTTATGTCTTACACAAAACTATTCTAATTTGTTTGCAAACCTAAATAGGCAAAGAACAGAAAACATCATCATCTGACCATAGTTTCTCTACTTGTCTAAATAATGGAGATCAACCGATACACCCAATATTGCTTTCTATTCCTCCATTTACACGCATGCAAATGACACATTGGTCATAAATGTTACATAAGCCTTAATAATAAAAAATAAATCATAAACAAATCAAAGAAAACCTTAACAATGGATAGCAAATGGAGAGGCAATATACGCCTCTTAAGCGGTCTCAAAGCGTGGCTGCAGAATACACTGATGAATCAGGAAATGCATCCACATATTCACAGATAATGATACAAGATTAAAAACAATAGCTGGCAAATGTATTGATCTAGCTATAACAAATCACAAATGCCCCAACCCATATCAAGTATATTCAGTTTTCTAGCAGCACCTGTGTTTCTGCTTGGTTCTCATCTTATCCACATACACCTGGAGCTCCAAGCGTAAAGGCTTTAGCATAGACTGAGGTCGGGCTCCCTGGTGGACCAGTCTGCACATCGCCCTCTCTGCTCCAGTCAGAGGACAGGGTTCCATTGACACGAGATCAATGTTTTAGGAAAAAAAAGGAAAGATGTATTTTTCTCACAAAGTTAATTTTGCAAAACAAAAGGGGGGGAAAAAAAGTAGTCCTTTCATTCAAATCCACAACAATCTTAAACCCAGAGAGCCGGAAAACATGGAGCAGCTTTTCAGATATTCAAACAGAAATTTATGACCAAAATCCAACAAAAAACGCGTATTGGATCCACTTAAGAATATTAGGTTTTCCAGAATGAAAAAAAAGGCAGAATAACTCCAATGCAAAAATCAAAACGGGAAATGTTTTAAAGTCCACAGAAGAGTAGCCACAGATTTAGAAGGATCTTATGGCAAAAAAAATAAAAAATAAATAAAATAAAAGCCGTCGCCTGACTTTTCCCAAGATTACAAACGAAATTAACCCTCTCTTTTCTTTATCCTAACACAGAGGATGTTCTTGGCCTCACTGTAGTTGAACTCAGTTACAAGTTTAAGCAAAACTTTTAAATTAGTCCACTGTCCCACAGAGAAAACGAAAAAACAGGCCTAATCAGAGACCTACACCCTCTTACTGGACTTCACACAGTGAAACGAGTGGCATAGACTAATCCACCTATCTGCTGACACTAGTGCAAACATAATTGGGTCAACAGCAAAGACAGACTGTTAAGACTGTGACTAAGGACTAATGAAATAAATATAATGTGGCAAAATAAGAACTAACATAAGGAATTTATCCTGTTTAATGGAAAACAAAAATGCAGTGCAGATTTTAAAAATAGAGGAAATATAAATTTACCATGCAGGACTTCCATCTAAACACAGAATTACTCCAGGAGGGAAAAATATATGGGTTAAATACCGGTAGTTGTAAACTGATATGCTTAACTTCAGAAAACCTCTAAATGCTACAATATTTATCATCAGAAAGAAAAATGTCCATCATTTTAACAAAATAAAACAATCTAAATCAAAAACCTTCATATCCTAAACAAGCTTGGGAAAAACAGCCAGGTCCTAAACCAACATTAAGTAACTTTTCAACATTCATAAAATATTTTCACAACTCTTGTGACTATAAGTTAACTTAAAACTAGTTGAATGACAGCTCTGTCATGGTCCAGGGGGCTCTGAATCACTTTCACTGGCACTAAGCAACTTTGAGGAGGGTGGCAGTAACCCTGCCACACAAAACAACTACAAACATGCTTTACGGCACACGTAACTTCCCCCTTTCCCCATTCGTTATAAAAACGGAAGTCGATGCGACTAAATGTCCCTGAGAGACTGTATATTTGTGCAAATTGTGCAGGGTTGATTTTCAGGATATGGGGCACGATCCTACTGAGATCTATATGTGTGTTTACTGTAAAACTATCAAGCATAATATTATATTTATCTTTTTAAAGTCTCTAAACTGGTCAGCACATCAGCTGCTGATGAGTCAAATGAGGTGGAGGAGAATAACAATGCAGATGTAACACAGAAGTGAAGCCGTTTCTTAGATTATTTTAATGGAGCTAATAGGACCTGTCTGTGCTCTGTTACACATGACTTCAGCATACTATTCCTATAGGTAAGGAGGAATCCTCTTTGTCAACTTTAAAATCTTAAACAGAAGTTAAACAACCGATATTTTTAGCAAATTTATTGCTTTTATTTTGCAACAATGTAGAATTAATGACGAAAATTGTAGCAACAGGATTTCATGTAGCAAAACGGCCTTCCCTCTATTATGTGGCAACATGTTGGAACGTTTAAATTCTATATTAAAGAATAAATTTAAATTATGTGTTTTTGTTCTATTTCTAAGTAAACTTAAGGTTTTTATATATTTATCTTGACAAGATAACTGACAGGGCCCTGTGTAACACATGCTTGTAAAATCTAAAATGGTGCATAAAGAGCAAATGAAGGACCATGTTCAGCCCAGTACTGGTATGGAAACAGAAAGTCTTAACTGTGGAATTAAGAAAGATCAAATTTCCATTGTGGGTAGCAGTCCATGAAAATGTGCAAAGTCCACCTCTAGGTATACCAAAAATAGCAAAACAAACTTAGGAGCTAGTTGAAAAAAACTGGTGGAGCTCTGCATGCCTTAGACGCAAACTCTAAGGCTGAAAAACTAATAATTCCATTAAGAAATACATATGTTAACACTTGACATTAAAAAAAAAAATGTTCCACGAAGTCATTCACTGCTTAAAGGCTCCATGGAGAAAATAAAAGATGCAGCAATAATTACCAGCCTCAGCCAGAGGGAGGAAAGGCATAAGGCCAAAGATAGCAGCATAAAATGTTGAAAGAACATATTTCATGACAGACTCGTCACTTCTATGCTTGGAAAAAAATGTGTTTCTATACAAGTATAGGCTTTTGTGTTGGTACAGAGTTTGATCTTATCTAAGGAGAGCAAGAACTCAAATATTCAATAGTGGTAAAACTTTCATGATAAGATCTTTCACATTGAAAGTAAAAAAGCCAAGCAAAGAAAAATTAAGTGTTCTACCCTGTAAATAGATTAAGGTAGAAATTAATTAAAGTAAATCTATCAATTCACAGGTGAATTTTGCAGTGTTTTTACCATTGTCTCAGGTAATCCAAGGGTTCTCTTTCAGAAAAAAATATTCAGAGAAACAATAACTTTCCAAACAGTAAGCTATAAATCTGTTTAAAGAAAAACAGAATAAAAAAAAACAAGACACTAACTCTGAGACACAAATTAACATCAAAGAGAAAACAAAACACAACAAAAAGACCAAAATCGCTGCTAAAAAATGATTTATGAGCATATAAAATAGGAACACAAAGTTAAAACCCAACAAAACAATGACTCATCTATTTGTTCATTATGACAGGACTTTACTGGCTTTGTGGTTCGACTCTGAGGGGATCGGAGCAGAAAGCACTCAGATTCTCTCCTCTAATGAATCCTTAAAATTAAGCTTTTGCATCAAGCTTACATGTCACCATTTTGTTTCTCATTCAAAAAAACAAGCTCCACAGATCTAAAAGAATTAACTGGCATATACAATGGTTTAGTAAATTAAAAAAAAGGTTGAAAAATGCAAACAATCATAAAAATGGTGAATACACACCAGAATAACAATGGAAAATATTTCTGATAAAATGTTATTATTTCATGTTAACCTAATGGTAACATTTACATTTTTCTGTCATTGGGAGAGTGAATAGAGTGTGTTTGATATGTTTTTTTTTTTTTAAATACCTACTCTTAAAAGTTTTTTCAATAAAGACATCAGAATTTAAAGTTGTCAGGAAGTAGTAAAGAAATATTTTGTGTCGCGCCGATGCCATTTTTTGGCCCCAATACCAATACCCGATACATGGCTGTGCAGTATTGGCCGATACCGATACCCTACCAATACCGTACCGATACCATCTGTTTGAAATTGACGTGTGTGTA